GCCAGCCCAAGTGACAGATGCGTCAGGATAGGCGAATGTAATCCCCAGCAGGACACGGGACATGGAACTCCACCTCTCTTGGCCTGGTTTCCTCATCAGTAAGACCGCACAGTACAGATGAAATGCTTGTCCCGGTCCAGGTGCGGTCCGAGGAGGAGCTGCTCTTGCCCAGGATGCCCGCAGGGATCTCATGCACAGGGCTGGTGATGGGCAGGTCTTTCCAACTTCCTATCAAATCAGTCATCGCCCGAGCCGCGTTTCCTCCCCACCCTGCCTCCCCTCCGCTCGAGCCTGCCAGTCTTCCCCTCCCAGAGGGTCTCTGCTTGTCTCAGCGCTGGAGACGGTGGGGACAACGTGGCCTGACTTCCTTGGGGCCCTGAGACAAGCAGGGCCCTGTGACTGGGAGGCCCAGGCTGGGCACAGCAGCCGCCAGAAGGCCCGGCCCTGCCATCTGCTCCCCCAGCGAGGTGAGCGGCTTGGCGAGGAGTCGCGCTTGGCTGTGGCCCAGCAACTTGAGCAAGTGCCCACTGGGGAGCCACTTCCCTTCATGGGGAGAGGCGAGGGCCTGACCCAGCCCCGCTCCAGATGGCTTAGGGGGCAGTGAAACCAGCTGTCCACGGCTGCCCCACAGGTAGCTCGGCTCAGGAGAGAGACCGTGCCCGGTGGCCAACACCACCCTCCCCCCAGGTCTGGATCACTTCAGAGCTTCCTAAGGACGCCTGTATGAGGTGGGGACCCAGAGGGCTTGTCATATGGGGTCACATTGGGCCACATCTGGAGACACACACTCACATTTGCTCACACACACACAGGGCCACACACACTTAAGCACGGACATACATTTGAACAGCTAAATACACAGTCACACAGTCACACAGGCACACTCTCATGCACACACTGACACAAACACAGACACACACGCAGGTGTATGTGTACAAGTGCTCATTCGCAAATGGACACACGCATGGAGACATGCACACTGGCATGTCAACAGCTCACACATGTGTGCAGTCTGGCACATGTGTGTACTCACACACACAAACAGGCTCACACGTGTGCAGTTGTATCTACGCCCATCCTCACCCTCAGGCAGTGGGTCTGTCCTGCATTAGGTCCACAGGAAATAAGCTGGGCTTTGTGGTTTACGGCAAACATCCTCCTAGGTGACCTCAGCCAGTCCCTGGCGTAGTGCTGACTCGCAGAGCGAGCAAGCCTCAGTTTCCCCACAGAGCTGCTCTGAGGACTAAGCGGGATAATGCACAGAAATTGCCAAGCCTGGTGGCTGAACACAGCAAGCCTCAGTAAATGATAGCTTTCATCCTTGGTACCACTAGCAATTTGGGACATAATAACAAGTCCGATAGCAACCCTGTGAGGTACGACTTTCCCCATTTTGTACAAATCAAAACACGTCCAGCACTGCAGAGCAGGCGAGTGAGCAGGACCACTGCAAGGGACTCCATGAGGCACCCTCTCGTGCCCCCAGGCCAGGAGGGGCGACCTTTCCCCACAGCAGCCAGTCTCAGGGTGCTGCGCGGCCCTGTTCATCTCCTAAACTCTGTCCCTTCGTCACACTCTCAGCAAATGACCCAGCTGGAAGGTGGCACCTGCCTCCTGCCAGGATGCCAACATGTCACTCAGGAGAAACGCTCTTGGACAACATCATCAGGGCCAGGAATAAGTAAAGCAGAAATGGCCAGGGCTCTCTGGTCCTGTAGCTTCTCAACATAATGGAGCTCTCTGGGGCGGGACCCACAACCCAAGGGCCCACCAGTGCAGGACAGGAACAGCACTGAGCCCAAGGTGCCCACCCAGTGGGACACAGTGGTATGGCACCTCAGGTGGACAGGGAGGCCACCACCCAGGTCCCTGACTGCCACCAGCAGGCAGGCAGGCCTGGAGCCACACACCTTCCAGGTACTCAAAGGAAAGTGGAAATACATGTTTTCATGCAAATCTCCTGGCTCACATGTCTTAAAAGCAAAAGAGGAGCCAAACAGATCAGCAGCCAACAAAGTTGTTTACTCCACCACAGCTACAATCTGGTACTGAATTCTACCTTCTACATTGATGAGGCAGAAACATGGCGACCTGGGTGGCCCTACGGGGACGCCCATTTCAACTCAAGGGGTCTCTGCCCTAGGGAAGGAAGAGGGACAGTGAGGGTCCCCCCAGAGAGAGGGGTGCTCAGTAAAGTCCAGGCCACAGCAGAGAGGTGCAGAAGCAGATCAGGGTGATGGCCCAGGCCAGGGACAGGCACCCGCCGGAGGGGACACGAATCAAGATTAAAACTAGGAGGCCCAGGGCCGGGGATTTAGCTCAGTGGTTCCAGCACCTGGCTTGCAAGTGCAAGGTCCTGAGTTCGATCTCCGGTACAAAAAAAAAGATTAAAACTAGGGGGCCCACTGGACAGTGTGGGTGCTTCTGGGTTTGTTTGCTGGGTCCCAAGCTCTGCTTTGTGACTGCACTGAGGTCTCCGTGAATGTTATGGCATGGCGGGGCTGCCTCCATCCTCAGGGGAAGGAGAGGGCAGCCACTTTGCTCCTCCAAGAGAGGGAGTTAGAGTCATCCCAGCCCCCAGGCTCGTCCACGCACTGGTGCTGAATGGTCACATCCTAAAGGGGCACAGTGTCCCTCCAGGCCAGGCAGGTACCACACTTCCTCTCCAGGGAAGGAAGCCTCCAGCTGACATGCCTCCTCAGCCCTCTCCTTCCCTGAAAGCTCCAGATTGCCCATCCCCTTGTGTGGCCCTTCCCTGTCACCTTCAGGGAGTGTGAGGCTGTGTCTCAGACCTTGTGTCACCTTTTTCCACTGGAATGTCAGTCCCTGGCAACAGGCTGGGTTATAAAGATCACAACCCTCAAGCCTCAGCTCAGTCACTTACAAAGGGAGAGCCACAAAATGCCACCTCAGTGGGCTTTCTTGCTGATGAGACTAGAGACAGTAAATGAGCTATCAGCTAGCCGGGAGTAGTGGCACATATCTGCATCCCAGCACTCTGGGAGGCTGAGACAGGAGGGTCACAAGTTTGCTTAGGCAACTTAGTGAGACTTTGTCTCAAAACAAAGAAGGGCTGGGGCTATAACTCAATGAAAAGGCCCTAAGTTCAATCCCCACTATGGCAGAGAGAGAGAGAGAAAGAGAGAGAGAGAGGGAAGAAAGAGCAAGGAAGGAAGGAAGAAAGGAGGCTCTAAGCCTAATAATGACAATGCCAGACTCCTTGCATCAGTCGGCACTTTGAACTTGAGGAAGGAGAGTAATGACCCTAACAATGGTAATGATCAATGACTTAGGTTTGTACAGCACTTTGAAGTTTGCAAGCACTTTCACAGACCTAATTTTACATCATCTTCAAAATCATCCTTATGAAAAGTAGCAGGGGATGAAACAAAGTAGGTAAAATGCAAATAATCACTGAAGTGGGCAATGCAGGTAGGGGGGCTACATTCTCCTGCTCTCTCTACCCAGGGCCTGTTTGAAATGTCCCATGGTAAAGACCTTTTTAAAAACCACTCAAGTACGTAAGTGAAGTTCAAGGTATTCGCATCACCAGTCCTTTTTCTTTGAGACAGGGTCTCGCTATGTATTTCTGGTCACCCCGCAATTTCCCAGACCCTCGCCCTATCTGTGCGCTGGAGTCCACACATCTGAACTGGCCCTGGTCACTCAGCCCCGAGGCTTCCCCTGCTGCTGGGCCAGGCTGGTCAAGGCAGGCAGCAGGGTGTAGAGTTTCCTGTGCTGTCCAAGGCTCAGCCCCAGGCATCTCCGAAGAGTCCGCGCAGCCTGGTCCTCTGCCCCTGGCCTGTCAGCCCCTCCAAATCCAGGGCTATGGCCTTGGTTTCTCACTGGCACTCCAGCACCGTGGGCAGCTGGACGCTGACTTTTGCCCCTTTATCCTCCCATGCCCCAGGGAATGGGGCTGCCCCTGGCATCTTTGGGCTCTGACCGGGGGCATCAGAGGGCAGAGAGGGGAGGGAGGCTTGCTGTGCTCTGGCCCGGTGCCAACCAGTGCCGCACTCTCCTGCCTTGCTCACTCAGCCTGCCCACAGCTGACCAGGTGAGGAGCAGTATCGCCATCTTACCGATGAGGAAACTGAGGCCCAGAGAGGTTACCTATCTTATGGATGGCACAGGATAGGAGAGTGGAGGAGTCCGAAGGCCCAGGCTGCTAACAAGTGTGCCACCGGGTTTCCACAGTATGAATGTCACTCTCCTGGTGTTGACCAAGGTGGGTGTGACCCTCCAGGCAATCACACTGTCTGCTTTCACACAGCCCCCAACACCCTAGCGGTTACCAGCATGCCTGATCACCACACGGGCAATGCTGCCAGCACCGTGCTGCACATGCTGTGTGCCAGGCCCTGCTGAGCCCCTAACCCATGCTCCCAGCAGGATTAAAAAGTTCAGGTGGGGAAACTAAGGCTTAGCGAGCAAAAACAAATCACCCAAAGTCACTAGAGCACATGCCTGCCCTCCATCCTCATTCCCAGAGGGCCCGGCTCCCTTCCAGCCTAACTTGGCCAATCTGCACTGCTCTCGGCCAATCACTGTTATTCCTCTCAGCAGGCTGGTGATTGGCTTAGGATAGAACATATGACCAACCAGTTCTGGCCAATGAGATAGGAAGAAGCCTGCTGGGAAAGTTTCCTTGCTCTTTCCTCACCCCCCCCTTTTCTTATTTTTGGAGACAGGGTGTGTCACTATGTAGTTCAGCCTGGCCTTGAACTCACTATATAGCCCAGGCTGGCCTCCAACTCACAGCGATCCTCCTGCCTCAGCCTCCCAAGTGCTAGGATTACAGGTATGCGCCACCACACCCAATTCTTTTTTTTCTCTCTCTTTAGTAAATTCAGTCTGGGCTACTTAGCCTCACTATCCACACTGAAATCATATTCACCTCTATTTTAATTTTTTGCACTGCTGGGAATCAAACCCAGGGACTTACACATATTAGGCTAGCACTTCACCACTGAACTACATCCCCAGACCTCATTGCTTACTCTTAAAAACAGATGTCCAGGGCCAAGGATTCAGCTCAGTGGTGCCGACGTCTGCCTCGGAAGTGCAAGGTCCTGAGTTCGATCCCCGGTACCAGAAAAAAAAAAAACAGATATCCATTAAAAGATGGGCACCTCCTTCTTCTACTAGACATTTCTGAATGTGATGACTGGAACCATCGCAGCCATCTCACTACCATGAGGTGCTCCTATGAGACTATGCCAACTGAAGAGAACAGCCAGAGAGGTAGAAAGGACATGGATTCCTATTATTTAAGCCTCTGATATCATGCTTTTCTGTTAGTTGCAGTCTAACTCCCACTGCCAGAAAGAATGTGCACTTCAGTTTCTGGGGCTCTAAGCATCAAATTAGATTGAGGCCGGGGGTTTAATTAGTGGTGCCGCCACCTGCCTCACAAGCACAAGGACCCGAGTTCGATCCCGGGTACTAAAAATGAGAAAAAAATTAGATTGAGTCTGGGTCCAGAATTTGAATCCATAGGTCACCCTGAGACTGAGTGTCAGGCCACCAACCTAGACAAACCCAGGGAGGGATTTTTGACCTTGGCCTGGCCTGGTGTTCTAGGTTAGAAAACCAGGTCAGGCCCCAGACTCTGCCCGGCACCCATCCCTGACCCCAAGCCCTAGGGGCAAGAACTGGAGTCCTTCATCGAGCGCCCCACCTTGGAGGGAGGATCCCAGAGCCAGCCTCTCCCCTTGGGAACCAGGTCTCGTTCCATCTTCCATTTCCACCGCCTTCCTCTGCCACTGCCCCATAAATCTCCAGTTTATTAATCCCTTACATGAAGCAGTCGGTGTGGGCTCCTGATTTACTCCCTGTTCATAAAACACTAAGAAATTAAAGATGGAAATTACCCACAAGGACACCAAGCCTCGCTGGGGAGCCCCAGAGTAATTCCTGGCCCCGAACCAGGTCCTCTCCACCCTCCCACCTTCGGGGCCCCAGATTCGGGTGACATCATCTCATTGTCCAGGCTCCATGAGCAGGGGGGGCTTCCCATCCCACACCTCTCCACCCCACTCTGCACAAGGCAGGATGGGGGCCGCGGATGGGGTCCCCTGAGACCCACTTTTGGAAGATTTTCCTCTTCCTAAATCCCTTTGGGAGGAAAAATGAAGTTGGGAACAAAAACTCAGGGTGCTAATTAAAGCGATTCAAATGTCAAAATATGTACTAAAGCTTGAGACGAGCTGGCACAGAAATGAAACTATTTTAAAGTGACTTTGCCTACCCACAGGTCTCGGGATCCTCCTCACCTTGCAAGTACCTAAGCAACACCCCCAGGAGCCCCAGCTTCCTGGAACTCCGATGGTCTCTATGGTCCAGCGACCCTGGGTCCTCCTCCCACTGTCCGGGAAGGCCTCAAGGTGGCCGAGCTCCTGTGCCTCACACTGTGCCCTGCAGCTGGCTGCTCTGTCCCTCAGCTGAGGGACAGCCACAGAGAGATGTCAGAACCCGTGTCAGAGGCAAAAGTGCCCTGCCCAGCAGGCCAGTGTGCCTTTAGCTCTATGCCATGCCTCAGACAGTGCTAGGTCCTGGGTCCCTGCTCCTCTGGTCTCACTGGTTATAAGGCAGTAAATCGAGAGAACAAAGTTGGGTTGCTTAGCCTCAAGGAGGAGCGAAGTTCAGGGAAGGCTTCCCGGAGGAGGCGGGCTGTGTCTGGGCTGGCGGGTGGTGGAAGATGAGGAGTCGGCAGGAGGGTGTTGCACTGTGAAAGCAGCAGGAGCTACCCGGAGGTGAGTGGCATCGCTGGGTACTGGGGGCTGGGGCAGAAGCAGCTTGGTGCCACCAAGGCCTGAGGGGGAGGCGGATTAGGAAGAACGCCAGCTGGGCCCTGACTGCTGTGCTAATGAGTTCTGACTTTATCCAGAGGGCAACGGGGATCCATTAAAGGGTTTCCAACAGGCGGGGACATGGGCCTGTTAGCACTTTAGAAAGATCCTTCTGCCTGCCTCGGGGAGCACAGCCTGGGGAGAAAAGGAGGGGGCCTTGGGCAAAGGCGGTAGGAGTGGGGAGAGGACATGGCCCATGCGGACTAGGGAAGGGCTGTGCTAGAGCAGCCAGAACTCCCGTGCTCTGGCCCACAAGCGGACCCCGGGAACCCAGGCCCACCCAGGGCCAGTGGCTGTTTGCAGGCAGCTTCCCCAACACCCCCAACTACTCAGTGCACCCTTCTGCCTCAGCCTGGCCTCCAGCTCCTCTTCCTCCCCTGGACAGGTTGTCCAATTCCCCCAGGGAGAGAATGGAGGAGGAACCCGAGCACCCCGGGAGAAGGACACTTGTCCTTGTCATCTTGTACTGGTGTTCACCTCAAGCTTCATTCCTGGGTCCTGGGCGGCCCTGTGGCCTGGGCCAACGCACCCCTTCCTCTTGTCCACAGGCTCCGGTTCAGGGCACCAGGCACACTGCTTAGCGTCTGTTCACCCCGCTGGATGCACTGCCTGCAGACAGGGCCACCTACACTCATCCCAGAGGCCAGCGCTACCCCTGATCCACACAGGAGCTCCAAGAGGCCTGAAGAAACTCCCAGGGTGCACTGGGATGAGGTGGGGGTTTCCCAGGGTGCTGCCTGCCCAGAACAGCTGTGGCCCTGACAACACTGAGTCCCACAGCTTGTCTTCCTTCAAATCACTGCCCCCAATAAAAGGCCACCAGGCTGCACAAATGATCGCGTTGTCACCATTTCACCTGCAAATAGGGAACCTGGCCAGCGTGTTCTCAGGACCTGACATAGCCCTGAGCAATTCTCATTTCATCCAGCAGAGCCGCAACAGTGGCTGCCATGGCACAGGTTAAGAAACACTGAGCCCGTGCTTGGTGTGGCAGCGCACTCTTGTAATCTCAGCACTTGGGAGGCTGAGGCAGGAGCACTACTGTGAGTTAGAGGCCAGGCTGGGCTACATAGAGTTCACAGTGGATTACACAGTGGGACCCTGTTTCAAAAAAAAGAAAAAAGAAACTACAAATTATCCTTCGAGATCCACCAGCCTACAGAGAGGCCTAAGTGTGACCTTGGGCAAGGTGGTCCCCTCTCTGGTCTGTTTCCTCATCTGCAGAGCAGGACAAGAAGAGGATGCCCCTCCCTCTCAGCAAGTCATGCAGCCACTGGCACCTGGCACCCTCCTGTATGAAGCCACTGTCCTGCTAGGCCTAGCCCTATGTGGAGGGCACTTCTAGCCGGTGCAGCCTCACCTGAGAGCGGGGAGGGGAGGGAAGCGAGGGGCTGATCTTCCATGTAGGAGTATAAATTACAGCAGGAAGCTTCCTGGGTTGGTGTCTTCTTTGGCATTAGAAGGATCATTAATTATGTAGTAAGTGTTTGAAAGGAAAAGACATCAGTAGCCTATAGGATGCATTTGCATAGTAATAGAGGATTGATTGGATGTAATATCTATCGGAGGGCTACGGGGGTTCAGGTCCCCAGGCCTTGCAGCAGCAGTAAATCACAAGCACCAAAGCCTCGGGGACAGTAAATAACAGCATCCCAATTGCTGAAGGACTCTTGGTGCCTGCTGATGACAGCCAGATGGTCACCTGGCCCGGAGCAGGGCAGGGAGCAGCCCAGGGCCTCAACCTCGGCCCCAGGGGCCCAGGGTTTCCGGTTGGGCAACTCCTCCCCATAAGCCCCTGCCCACCTGAGGCTGGGAGCCGCTTCCTAAACCTGGATTTCTCTGAAGGCGCTTGTGCGATTCCCCCGGGAGTCAACTGCCAGCCTAAAAAGGAAACGCAAGGGTTGCTGCTTGCACGCGAGTTGTGGGTCCTCCTTTAATGAGGAGCCGGGAGGACCGGAGAAAAGTGGCTCCCACTCCTGGGGAAACCAAAGCCCCCAAAACCCTGCAGGCTGGAGCCTGGGTGGCTGCCCCAAACCGCAGGGACCGGCTCCTCCCTGAGTGGCAGCGGCAGTCACAGCAGCAGTCACTGTAGGCCAGGCAAGGGCCAACTCACCCAACACTCCCCGCAGCCCGGGGTGGGAGCGGCCACCACAACCCCGACAGGAGGCGCGAGGAGACTGAGGCTCGGAGCAGTGCGCCTACACAGCAACACTGCTGCCCTCGCCCCTCCTTCCGGCCCTGGCCTCCCTTTTCCTGGGGGTCCCTAACCTAACCACTACCCAAACCCGCAGCCCCGCCCCCACCCCACACTGCCTCCTCCTTTCCTGCTCTTCTTCATCTTCCTAACCTTCAAAGTCTCCATCATCTAACGTAGTTTGTTTCTAGCTGGGCATCCCCCAGGAGAACGTGAGCGTCACGGGGAAGGGGTCCGCCCCCTTAGTGGTCACTGCTGTACACTGTCCTTAGTGGACAGCTGGACCTGGCACACAGCACTGTTGAATGGGGTGGAGTCGCACATCCAAGGTCGCCCAGCTTTTGAAGGGCAGAGCTGGGTTCAAAGCGAAGTAAGCGCTCACACCTCACCAGGAAGCACTTTCTCCTCTCTGGCTGAGACCTGTATGGGGGTCATGGGTTTGCTTTTCCTGCTTCCTGCCTCTCCTCCCTTTTCCTCTCCCTCTCTTTGCTGGGAGTCCACACCCCCGGTCCCCCCATAAAGCAGCAACATGAAGTGTTGTCTCAAACTCTGTTTTCAGGGGAACCCGTGACCTGCTCAGCCACAGGTGGCCCCTGGTGCCCAGTAGGACCTTGCTCACAGTAAAGAGGTGCAAGAGAAACTGCGTGGTGATGCAGGCCTGTGATCCCAGCACTGCGAATGGGAGGCCGAGGCAGGAGGGTACCAAGTTTGAGCACAGCTTGGGAAACTTAGCAACTTAGTGAGACCCTGTCTCAAAATAAAAAATAAAAAAGTGCTGGCGGTGTAGGTCAGTATGAAGGCCCTGGGCTCAATCCCCATTACCACCCCGAAAATCCACAAGAGCAGACAGACTGCTTGACTTTGAGGAGACTAGATCCTGCTGATCTCTCCACCAGGGGACAGAGGGGCCCTGGATCCTTGAAGACACAGAAAAGGATTCTCCAGCTTTCTGAGCTGTCTTTGCAAATGCTTTCACTCAGAGAAGGTGACAGCAGTTCGAATCCCCCTGAACTGGACTTCCTGAAAG